TATTTCATCGCGTACATGCCACATCGTTTTCATTTTATTATCAGACTCTCAATCTGCTGTTCATACTGTTCTTTCCTCTTCTTGACTAGTAAATCATTGTGATCTTCCTTAAATCTGAGATTTTTTTTTTTCACATTTGGGATAAAATTTGATAAGATTAGTGTGGCGCTCAAATAATTTCTACATTTTCTCCTGATCATTTAGTTCTATTTGTTTCCTTGCTGTACATACTTCAATGAAAAACAGTAATTGGAATTTGTTGGGAATATTCTCATAAAATCTCCCATTGTTTGTGTACCTCGTCTTTTTTCATGTTATAATAGTCTTCCCAAGTCTCATCCATTAATCGTGATAAAAATTCTTTCTTATTCGCTTCTGAAGATATCCTCACCTGTTTATTTATTGGTTTGTTACTGGCTTCGATTACAACTTTTTTCATTTGTGCGGTGTAGTCAGATATCGAAGAATGTATAATCTAAGTATTATATCACCTCCGAAATTTGTAAAGATGTTATCTATACAGCTTTCAGAAGTGGGAGTTCTCCTAGTATAGTCGTCTATCGTGGAAAATAATGAATGAGAATTCATAAATAGATTCATTTCAGTTATGTTGCTACTGCTGTCCTCCAGCTCAATGTTGAAGTCTCTGGCAATAATAATAGTAGATTGTTTTATTAGGATCAAAAGTGACACTTAGCGAAGCCGAGCGAAAGCAAAATTTGCGAGTCGAACAAAGTCACTTTTGATCCGAATGAAACATGCTATTTTTTCTGCAAATGAAACAATTAACTTGAATAAACATGTGAAGTAACCACCAATGCCGTGCCATATGTATGCAATGCAACAGATATTGACAAATAATCCATGTGGTGAGAATATTCTACCTGCATTAACAGCAGGTTAGGTATTCTAGGATGTTCGAATTGTAGTTTCAATATGAATACAACCACAGAGTGACATATTTGTGTATGGACCAAGTGCTCTAATGACAAATACCGCGCCAGTCCCAGCTATAGGAACAAGACGTGGAAAATGTTAGGTTAGTGAGCATATCAACAATGATATTAGTGATTATTTATTTCTCTCCATACTACACAGTGTTTGACTTGATAATCAAATGAAGCTGAAAAATATCGTTTTTTGAGACAAAAAAACTTATGCTTGCCGTGATTATTCAAGTTATCCATCCCGAGAATAACGAATGAAATACAGATCAAGCAAGTATTTAAATCTTGAAGGATTCCCTGATCAAAACAAAAATACTTGACTAAGATGTTTATAATTCCAATACTAAACTATAATAAGGTGAATTTATATCTCCAGCATGGGTATGAAATGCCAAATCTGCTGAAATCGGAAACAAATCAGGTATGGGTCTCAACCCAAATAACCAACCGTCACAATGTTGTTTATTCTTGATGACGTCCAGTAGATCCTTTTTAGTTCCTAGGAGCTAAAGTTCTACTTTAGCTCCTAGGAACTAAAATTCAACTTTAGCTCCTAGGAACTAAATATGTTGCCTAGCAACATACCTATTTTTGTGTCAGTAATAGAAACGTCAATTAAAGAGCTAATTTTGGTATCAAAATGGACGACTTTTGTGTCGGTTGCAGAAAAAATAATTTTGTTGTGATCTGCGATCTATTCCAGCAGCTCTTCTAATTTTGTGTGGAAGTCTTCTAAGTTATTATGGGTTGGGTTTCTGTAGATACCTACGACGACAATAGTTGAATTACCAATTTCGCATTCGATGGCTGTGCATTCAAATACATCACGTTCTGCTAATTTCTCTATTTTTCTGCATCTTCGGGAGTCTATTCCTGCCTTCACGTAAACTGCTGAGCCACCTCTCACTTTTTGTGGTCTGCAGTAACAAGAAGCTGATTTGAAATACCTCAATTTATGTAGTTGTAACTGCCATGGTGTTTTTCAGTGCTCAGTAATAGTTAGGAAAAAGCAATTTTTCGTTTTGACAAAGTAGGTCATTAAGAACATCAACCCTATTCCCAATAGATCGTACGTTTTGGTGTATTAGACTTATACCAATTATTGAAATATCAACTCTTCTATTTGCACGTACCATTGATTGTGATATATTGTCAGTTTTGGTATCTGAATTTGCAGTTTTTGGATTGTTCACACAAAATCCTGTTGCCTGTTGGGTTTTATATTTTTTGCAATCAAATCGTTTGAAAGCTACACTCTTCGATCATGCTCTTGGTTGATATATTTCCTCTTTTGGGTCCTTATCAATTCCGACCATGAAACATTTGGTTTGGGTCTCCTGAGTTGACAGTTCTTTCACAACTATATCAGCATTTTTGAAGGCATCTTGTTCTGCTATATAGTTTTTTATGTCATCTTCTTTGATATGTCTTTGTATTCTATATAAATATACCCATACTCTTCTTTGGACACCAAAACTTTGACCTGCTTCTTCATCCTGATTTTCCCCATATGTTTTTGGTTTTCCTTGTCTTTTCTTGTCTCTTTTGTGTACCACCTTTCAAAATCCATCCTCATCTGGTCAGTCTAAATTTATTATTTTATTTGCTTTGTTTATTTGGTATTTTATTAGTTGTTCGGCGCTGTTCCGGGAATCCTCTTTCTTTGATGACGACGTCTCCATTTTTTTGTGCTTTTTTAATCTCAGTGTTAATTTGCTTGAGTGATTGAGCTATGAGATTTCTTTTTTGTGACTGTTTCTTTTTTGTTTGCGGTGTCTCCCATTTCTTGTTGTGGTCTTATCTGGTTATTTCTTTGCTGTTTCCATAATAGTTTTCCTTCTGACAGCTTATTGAAAAGTAATTAATATTTCATCTCTGTATCCTGTAGAAGATTTTTCAGATATTCGTTTTCCATGAGAACTTTGTGTATCTCAATTGTTTTCCTAATTTGGGTGATATCTGGGGTTTTATTCATTGATTTCACATTCAACATTAGTTCCTCATTTTCTTCCAGTACCGATTTTTGACTTTCACAGCAGTTTTTTCGCTGGGAACAACTTGGGTGAAAGACAGCATTACATTCAGTACATTTCACTTGTTTCGTCACTTTTCTTCCACAATAATAACAGTTAATATCAAGATACAAATGCGGACCACTATTCAGACTTGTATTCGCAGCAATCATCACTCTTTCCATATTATGTTCCTCAAGAATAATAAAGATTAGGTATAATCATTATTTTTTTCTCCTCAGGAATCTGAAATTTTGATACGCTTAACAAGCAAGTATCGTTGAATTTGAAATCAGACTATCCTAGGAATACCTCTCAATATTTCCTGAATCAACCAGAACTCAACCCAATATTTATTTCGACGGCTATGATGATGATTTTGGGACAATTCAGATCATTCTGGAAACCGTCAGTGAAACAGGAATATCCAATTTCTGTACCATACTGTATATATTCGATTTTCATGGTCCTTCGTGATACAGATTACATAGTGTTCAACAAATACGTAATATCACACTGCAAGTGTGTTTGTTTTTATTCATCTATGTATATTGAAGTCAGAGGAACAATATTGGGGTATTAATGGGGATGGCCGCGCTAGACGTTGGTGTGTTAGCAGCTGAGCTGAATAAATTGAAGAAAAGTTTAATCATTGATTTAATTACTGTGCATAAGTTACCAGTGAATGTGGATAATGGAGTTTTATTCGACAGCACAATATACAAAATAGATAACAAGTCTAGCCAAAATATCTCTAGTAGTGGAAAAAACGATGCAGGGAATTCTAAGCAGGATGTCTCTTCTGCAGTCTAACAGGCAGAAACACAGAATAAAGTAGACCATTATATGAACCTGACGAACGTTAATAAATCATCTACCAAAAATTCGGAAAATGACTGGCAAGAAGTTAATAGGGAAAAAACATTGGCGAAATGTAATAGTAGGCAATAACGACTCTGACTCTATCAGAGGAGTACCAAGATACACATATCTCCACGTATATAGGCTAGATCCGCAAAGTAAATGCGATGATTTATCCAAAATGATTCAAGGATATTTTCCGGTATACCCCAGTCAATTTAGGTTTTGACCCGGACATTGATAATTACTAAACGGGACCTTTTTCAGTTTGTTAAAACACCTTTAAGAAACACCCTCAAGAAAGTCCCACGACGTTCTAAGTGGGATAGCGAAAATATGAAGGAAAAACTAGATGAATTATGCTCAAAATCAACAATTTTAATATTATCTCCTTATTGGTGGATCCAAGCTCAATTATACCTATTATCAATTTCATAGGAAACTAAATTCTCTACAAGTTTCATACGGAACAATTTTTCATACGACCAATATTGAAAGAGCTGCAGCGCTTTGAAATAGGGCAATTATCGAAAATACCATAATCGTTCGGTTGTGAATGACATTTTGCATGAATATTTTTTCATTCATCAAAAACTGATCAAAAGCACAGAATATTCCTTTTGTTATGAATTTGGGATCATTAATAACGATTTCATTTGTTCGCACCAGTTACGTAATTCCTCGGATTTCTGAAGTTCACCTGGCAATTAATAATATTTTGATACAGTAGTAATAATAATAGCTGCTGACAAAGTGATCGAAATCTCAGTAAAATAAGGTTTTGACTCGGATATTGATAATTATTACTAAACACGGACCTTCTCTCAATATATGTTCAAATGCCTTACGGGATGACGCTTAAGAGAGTCCTACGACCTCTTCAGTGAGATAGCCAAGATATCCTGGAAAAACCGGATTTTCAAGGAAATTCCTGGAGCATGCCTAAAATCGTTATTAATGAAGCTATTTCTTTACATTTCATATGATTTTTTTATTGCAATCGAGTGAATAATAAGGATAATGGTTTCATCTATTTGTAAATAGTAATACAAATAGTTTTTATTACTTCGCGAGGTAGAGTCTTCAAGCGAGGCTGAGTTCCACATCAGTTTCTGAAACAAAATTATTATAAATAAATCAATAACACATCCTCAAATAGAGGAAAGAAAAGCAATTATGGATGTTCGGTGGCGTACCAGTACACGGGATCGGCTCGAGGTCTTTGTCCGGATGGTCGACGTTGTCCTCGTCCTCTTCTTTAACGTATTACTACATCCATGCCCCGCGCAGTACCCGCAGATGTTCGAACACACCATCTTGTGCCTTCTGCACGAACATTTTTTGGATTCACACCCTTGTGTGCAGTTACAAGAAACCATTTCGAGAAGGCGGTCTGGAGCCGGCTTACTTCGGTGGGTCACTGGGCGTAAGTGACCCTCTTCGTCCTTCTCGAATCCCCAATCAGTGGGCGGTAGAGGATTTCCTAACCATTCCTGGACCTGCAAGTACAATCTATGTGCAGTGAATATGTTCAAAAAATATACTGAATGAACCGACTTTTTGAATGGAACTAACCTGAAGATAGACTCGTAATGAGTGCTCTCTACTTGACGATGATGTGGGAGGCAGCTGGGCCAGATCAAATTTCTTGTCGGCAGGGAGCCGAGAATTGATTTTCACATACATCTGGAACCTTCACTTTCCAAGATCATCCGAGGTTTTCCCTGGATACAGAGACATAATGAACATCTCTCCAGCAGTGGCAATGTCGTCTGGTGTGGCCTTTGGTGAGTTGAACACTCCAACTCGCAGACGTAGTGCCTCATCTTGTTGCAAGCGCCTGAGCCTGAACGGCTTCAATTTACCAATATTAAATATAGCACTAGTTGTATCACACCCCGTAGCAGCGTGTAGAAAGAGTATTAATTCTTTCATTGGTCCTAAGAACTCCTGACATTCCTTGCTGCTATATAACTTAGCTGGTTTACCCTTGATACCAGGTATCAGGAATTTGATATCAACCTGAGGTGGAGACAGAGCAGTAAGTAGAACCGCAAGGTCTGTGTCTTGTCCAATAACAACAGTTTCATCCTGTTGCTCAGAATAGCATAAAGCGGTTGTGCGAACATACCAAATAAAGGTCCCGGTAATTATCAATGTCCGGGTCGTATCCTAATTCTACTGAGATTTCGATTACTTTTTCAGCTGTTATTTACTATTATATCAAAATATTATTGTGTAGTCCTATCTTCAATATTTTTGATTTCCTGGCAAACTTCAGAAATCCGACTATTTGCATAACTGGTGCGAACACATAAGATCGTTATTAATCAGTCCAAATTCATAACAGAAGGAATATTCGTAGGTAATATCCCGAGACCATGACAAATAGCCGACTATTATTTTCTTCATAATTCTATCGAGAGTAACTTGTATTTTGACAATTTGATGAGACCATATGAACAATAATAATCTGAATAACTCCCGAGAGCTTTAGCTCGTGGGAGTTATTCTATGATTATTTATGTTCATATGGTCGAATTGAATTGTCCGAAAATACAAGTTACTGGAGATGAATTAAAGAAAATAATAGTCTCCATTTGTCATGGTTGAGTGATATTCAGGAAGATTATTTCATGAACAGTATAAAAATACTGGTTCATATGAGTTTCAACTTTTCATTCAAATTACAATTCTGCAGATACTATTTGAATAAAAATTCTTCTGAAGGCCGTCGGGAGTATTCTTATTATATCTGAAGTTAGGGCAAAGGAAGAATATTAACGCTATTGATAGCGTTAGTATTCTTTGATTAGAGCTTCTGTACTTTCCTTTCTTGTTTGAGGAAAATATTGTAGGCTTCGCCTTTTTGCATTATGTGCAACCCTGGCACCTTCGAATTCGATATATTCAAATGGATTTGTCTAACGTTTATGTTCATTGAAGTAACCTTCCTGTATATAGTTTTACATATCAATTTCAACTGTGTATTCCTAATATTCCTCATCATTCTCCTCACCCAATCTTTAAGGATTTGGACAATCACGAGAGATGGGGTAGTCCGGGTAGTGGCACAAAATTCATAGCTTTTCTGCTGACAAAAAACAATGAATTGTTCTAGACAGATTCTTCACTCTTCTTGTTATTTTCTGACATCGATTCGCTTACATAATTACGAATTTCCGTAGTGAAAGTTCACCCAAAACGAGACATTTCAATTTTTGAGTGACATGTCAAAGTTTGACAACCATAGCACTCTTATGCTGGCGAACAGAATAGCGGCTCATATTGTTTGTTTACCTAAATAGCCGCTGATATCGCATATCATGTGACTTCAATCATGACATTTCATAGGTCCAGCCGGGTGTGAATGAAATAATCTATGCTATTGATCAATATTTGAATAATGAAAAAATATTCATGCAAAATGTCATTCTCAACCGAACAATTATGGTATTTTCGATAATTGCCCCATTTCAAAGCGCTGCAGCTCTTTCAATATTGGTCGTATGAAAAACTGTTTTCCATGAAACTTGTAGAGAATTCAGTTTTCTATAAAATTGATAATAGGTATTATTGAGCTTGGATCCACCAATAAGGAGATAATATCAAAATTGTCGATTTTGAGCATAATTCATCCAGTTTTTCCTTCATATTTTCGTTATCCCACTTAGGAGGTCGTGGGACTTTCTTGAGGGTGTTACTTGAAGTTGTTTAAACAAACTGAAAAAGGTCCCGTTTAGTAATTATCAATGTCCGGGTTTGGTCGGAAATTGGCCTATTATTACTGGGGTAGTAGCCAAATGTGGAGAAATGGTTCCTTAATACCCGGGATCATACTCATCCTTCAAAGTTAGCATATATGGAAAACATTTCAAGTTAGCAATGAACCCTAATATGTGGCCAACAGGTGCTTGTGTGAGGCGTTTATTCGAACTACGGAAAAGAAACAATGCTCCAAATTAGCAATTATGAATCCTAACTTACTTCTTGTTAATGTGAATACATTAAATGAAGAAAAAGTTAATTCCACAACAACTGATATATGTTAATATGACAATATGAATTTCTTATGTATAGTGGAAACATGGTATAGATGAAACTGCTCTGAAAACTGTGAATTTATTTATGTAGAATCAATATGTCATGTGGCGGAATAGCTATCTGGGCGAAACCATGTATTGAGGTGAATCATATCAATGTTAGTGAATTTTGTGTACAGCAACATTTTGAAATATGTGCTGTGAGTTTTAAAAAAAATGGGATTTTTGAATATTTTGGTCAATTGTTATAGATTTCCATTAGGAGGTATTATTTAAAAAAAACTGGATATCTCTCCTGAACCACCTATATTAGGTTAGGTTAGCCCAATGTGAAGTTTATCATATGTGGGAATTTTAACTTCGATATTTTAAAAAATGAGCATTTTATTGAACTGTGTGTTGTTAATTTTTTGCCTATTGTGGAATGGCCTATCAAAGTCACAGAGGATTCATACACTATTATTGATCAAATTTTCATGAATTTTAGCAATGGAGGTACATGTTTTGTCGAAGATAAGACTTTTCCCGATCACGAAGGCGTAATTTTAGAACTGGATATGTTTCAGAAAGCTACCGAATTACATACCGAATATAGCCGGGTTGGGCGGAGTTTCAGTAACTCCAATTCTAAGAATTCCGAAAATTCTCTAAGTCCTGAGGACTGGAATTTTTTATATAAAATAGATGACTGTGATGAAACATTCAAATATTTTTATGAAATATTGATGTTTCATTTCAAAAATAATTTTCAGAAAAGAAAATATTATGACAATAAATCCCAAGACAAAAAGTGGGTTAGTGACCTCATCATCGCATCTAGTTCTTCCCTCAAGCAATTAGCTGGTCTCAAGAATTTTCACCCTTGTTTGGAATACTCTCATAGAATTGCAAAAAAAGAACATTTATATTTCTAATGAATAAAACTGAAAATGATTATTATCAAAACATGATCAATAGAGCTGATAATGAGTCGAAGGCATCCTGGGATGTAATCTCTGAAAATTTTTTTTTTTAAATATAGTCCTAAATAAAGATGTTGCACCAATTGAGGATCCTCATTTGATTGCAGAAGAGTTCAACAACTTTTTTCTGAATGAACCAGTGAATTCAATAAGGCAAATAGATCATGATAATATCCTTCCTCAACCTGACATTACTAACAATTTCAACCCATACTCGTTATTTCTTCATCCTTTCAGTGAACAAGAATCATATAATATCTTGAAAAGGAGACTCAAAAATGAAAAGTCCGCTGGTCCAGATAAGGAATCAGTTTTTCTACTGAAAAAAAATGCTTCATGTTATAATAGAACCTATAACATTTTTAATCAATTTGTCTTTCACTGAAGGAAATTTTCCCAGAGTAATCAAGATGGGAAAAGTTGTCCCAATACATAAAAAAGATGAAAACAAATGTTGAAAGATTATAGACCCATAACTTTTCCGTACTCATTTTCGAAAGTATTCGAATATGCGTTTGCAGATCGACTCATGGTTTTCATTGAATAACATGATATTCTGAGTGAACATCAACATGGTTTCCGATCAGGAGAATCTACTAGTTCAGTGCAACTTTCTCTGTTCAATGTACTTATTAAATTGAATCTATAGAAGCAGGCGAATGCCCTGCTGTCATATTTTGTGATTTGAGCAGGGCATTCGATTGTGTCAATCATACAAAATTATTGTCATCTCTTGGAAACTATGGCATAAAGGGCTTATCCTCTAATTCGATCCACTCCTTTCTAAGAAATCGTGAACAATTCGTCTCAGTTCAACATTCTTATCAAACTCTTATCCAAACTCCAAACCTATCTCTGTTGATATGGGAGTTCCGCAAGGATCCATTTTAGGGCCTATCTTATTCGTACTGTATGTCAATCAAATTGATTCTGTTTTTGATGAAATCAAGTACACTGCTCATGCAGAATATTTTTCTCTGATTGTATCGGCACCTGATTCGCTCTCTGTGGTCGAGAAATGTAGTAATTCTGTAAGTCTAGCATCTGATTATTTCAATGATAATGATCTATCTTTTAATGTTGAAAAGACACAAATCATCAGATTTCATCATCGTCAGAATAAAATAGATCAACTTGTATTCGACCATAATAACTATATCCTGAAGAATACTAATGATCCAGTAACATATTTAGGGATAAATTTCGATGAGTGTTTGGTTTGAAAATCTCAATGTTCTCAGTTGGTTTCAAAATTGTATTCTCTGGCATATCTTTTCACGAATTTACGTTTTGTGCTTGATGATAATCAGTTGCTGAGTTTATATCATGCTAAGGTGGGATCTAGACTGAGGTATGGTGTCTGCCTTTGGCGTTATTCCACAATGGCCAGGAATGTGTTTATCGCACAAAAACGTATTGTT